ACTGTGCTCCTCTCCTTGCTTATTCTTCCCAGAGCAAGCAAGCTCCCTCCTCTGACAGTCTTGCCATTTGTGCCAATCACTCCCCCACTCTGCCTCACACTGCAGGCTCTTAGTCTCTCTTGTGCCTGTCCAGGGGCCAGAGTCAAGCATCACAGCTTAAGGGAAGCCTCTGTTCCTCCCAAGCAGACAGGGATCTGCTTTCCCTGGGCTCCCAGGACACTTCCACTATACCCCTCATCACATTGCATTCTAATTTGGCTCTTTCTTCCCTTAGATGACAATGTCCTGAGAGCTGACACTGTGCCTTTTTTACATGGGTGGGAGCACATAGCAGGCACTCAGTAACTAGTTGAATGAATGAATCAATGAATGAATGAATAGCTGTGTGAACCTTGGTTGCTAAGAGCAGTAGGGACAGGAACAGTGTCTTGCTGGGAAGCCATTTCCTGATAAACATCTGACAAGGACAGCAAGGACACAAACAGTTGGTGGGTGATTAGGGTGACTTGCCTGCCTGTACCAGTTAGAGCGAGGGTCAGCCACAAAGGACAGAATGCCCAGTGTAACAGTGGCTCAGATAAGATGGTTCTCTGTAGAAATCCACAGAGAAGTAGTCCGGGGCTGATAGGGTGGCTCCCTGATCACCAGGACAAGGCTTCTATTTTGTTCCTCCACCATCCATAACAAATGGCTTCTACCTCAAGATCCAAGATGGCTTGTGTGAGCTTTAGACATAACAATGCATTGCAGCCAGAAGAAAGGGGTAAGAGATGGTGCCTGCCCATTCATTTTTATTTCTTTTTTTTTTAAAAAGCAGGCTTTATATTCTAGAGCAGTTTTATTTATTTATTTATTTATGTTATTTTTTTGAAACAGAGTCTCACTTTTCACCTTCTGGTAGAGTACTGTGGCATCATAGCTCACAGCAACCTCAAACTCTTGGCTTAAGCCATTCTTTGCCTCAGCCTCCCGAGTAGCTGGGACTACAGGCGCTGGTCACAACACCCAGCTATTTTTCAAGACAGGGTCTAGCTCTAGCTCAGACTGGTCTTGAACTCCTGAGCTCAGGCAGTCCATTTGCCTCAGCCTCCCTGAGTGCTAGGATTATAGTGAGCCACTGTGCCCAGCCTAGAGCAGTTTTAGGTTCACAGCAAAATTGAGCAGAAAGTATACGCAGTTCCCATATAGAGTAGAACCCCAGTAAGTTGACCATGTAAGGGACTGTAACAAAGTGATCAACATAAAGAAACAGGCCTACTGTATTGATGCATACATGTGGTGCATGTCTGGTCTATGAAAATTGGGTCAACTTAAGGAGGTGGTCAACTATGGAGGTTCTGCTGTGCACACAGCCTCCTCCCCCCATTATCAACATTCCGCGCCAGAGTGGTCCTGTTCATTGAATCAGTGATGATACATTGACAGATCATTATTACCCAAGGTCCAGGGCATACGTAAGGGTTCACTCTTGGTATTGTACATGTTGTAGGCTTAGACAAACATATAATGCCATATATCTACTGTGATAGTATCATATAGAAATATTTCGGCTCGGTGCCTGTGGCTTAAGTGGCTAAGGTGCCAGCCACATACACCTAAGGTGGCGGGTTTGAATCCAGCCTGGGCCTGCCAAACAACAATGCCGGCTGCAACCAAAAAATAGCCAGGCGTTGTGGCAGGCACCTGTGGTCCCAGCTACTTGGGAGGTAGAGGCAGAAGACTCACTTGAGCCCAAGAGTGTGTGAGCTGTGATGCCACAGCACTCAACCCAGGGGGACAGCTTGAGGCTCTGTCTCAAAAAAAAAAAAGAAAGAAATATTTCACTGCCCTAAAAATCCTCTGTGCTTCACCTGTTCTTCCTCCCTTCCCTACCAACCCTTGGCACTCACTAATCTTTTTACTGTCTCAATAGTTCTGCCTTTTCTAGAACATCATATAGTTGGAGTCATACAGTAGGTAGCCTTTTCAGAGAGCTTCTTTCACTTAGTAATATGCATTTAAGTTACCTCTATGTCTTTTCATATTTTGATAGCTCATTTCTTTTCAGTGCTAAATAATATTCCATTTTCTAGACATACCATAGTTTATCCATTCACCTACTTACTGAAGGACATCTTGGTAGCTTCCAAATTTTGGCAATTATGAATAAAACGGCTATAAATATCTGTTTGCAGGTCTTTTTGTGCACATCAATTTTCAGCTCATTTGAGAAAATATAAAGGGGTGTAATTGCCGGATCATGTGGTAAGAGTATGTTTAGTTTTATAAGAAACTGCCAAATTATCTCCCAAAGTGGCTATGCCATTTTTTATTCCCTAAAACAAAGAAAGTTCCTGTTGTTCCACATCCTTGCCAGTATTTGGTGGGGTCAGTTTTGAATTTTGGCCATTCTAGTAGGTGTATAGTTCTTCCCCTCCTTTTTCTTTTCAAACCACTTTATTGAGGTATGATTGACATGTAAAAGATATACACATTTAATGTATACAACTTGATGAATTTGGGAATGTCTCTCTTCCTTATAAGATACTGTTTGAAAGTTAATAAATGAAACAGCCATTGTATTTCATGGGTCAGAACTAAGCCACATGACCACAGTTAGCTGCAGGGTAGGCTGGGAAATGTGGTTTTTTTATTCCTAGTGGCCAATTGGCAATCTGGAAAGTCAATGCTCTTACTGTCAAGGAAGAAGAGAGAATGGACACTGGAAGCCACATTGCAGGGAGGAGAAATCCTCAGATGATGTCCCAGCTTTCATATTTTCAGTCAATTAACAAGCTTCCCAGGGCCCAATTCCAAGTTCCCTGGAGAGAGAATTTGATTGGCCCCGCTTGGGTTAAGTGTCCAGCCAGGTGGGTCAGTTGTGGCTAGAATAAGAAAGGCAGAGGGGAGGAGGGCAGTTTTCAGAGAAGGGGTGTCATGGGATAGGAAGACCCTTCATCCAGAGCATGGACGTACTCTTCTCACATCTGTGTCCCCGGACTTTGCCTCCATCATTCATTTAGGTAAACATTTATTAAACACCTTTTGTACGCTAGGCACATGGATCTGCCCTCTAGGGATTTTGGAAATCTCTTTGGAGATTGTTCATATTGCTAATCTGCATTGTCTTTTGGAGTGAAGTCATCACTCCTAGATTAATCATCTTTAAGCTTTCCCAAGTTTCAAGATGGGGATCAAGGGATTTGGTGAACTCATGCTTCTGTTTACTCATCTGGGTCTTTGGGAACTATAGAGATGGCCATGTTCTCTCCTCTTGTCTATGTCTCCAGTGAGAAGTATCTTAGTTCTTTAGCCCACCCAAATAGGACGCCCTCTCCTCAGTCTTCCTGATTGCTTGTCTTTCTTTCTTCAGCTCTGGGATAGGCTTCCATTGGTCCCAAATATGAACATATCTTGAGTTGATACCCAAAAAAGAGAATGTTAGGTTTCTTATCTCCATAGGAAAAGTAGCTAGTATTTGACAGCACTTTCTGGCAGTGGCAGGAACTGGTGGTAACGACCATAGGTACTGTTCATCGAGGACAGACACTGCACCCAGCACCAAGCTAAATCCTTCCTGTGCACTGTCTCCTGACAACCTTGAGAGATAGGCATTATGCCCCCCACTTTACAGATGGCTAATTAGGAAGCTCAGAGAGAACGGGCAACTTGCTCAAGGTCACATAGCAGCTGAGTAGTGGAGCTAAGCTTCAAAACCAGCTTCAAACCCCCCTCCCACTGAGGCTTCCCACATGCCAAAGGCCTCTGAGAACACTCCATGTTGCCTTTGAGGTCTGCCCCAAGCATGTTCTCCTGTGAGTATCACTGTTTTATGGAGATACCATTCTGAATGTGTTTGCTAACTCTTGTTGAAGTGCTCTTCTTTGGAAATCAGACTCTGATCCCACTCTAGTCACTGGTCACAACAGTTAGGGCTGGAGTTGGGGTGGGACACCCCTGTAAGTCCAGCTTACTGCTGCCCTACCCTGACTCTGGGCAAGGCCCTCTCTCTCTTGGCCTTACTTATCTCGTCTGTGGCTCTGTGGGCCTCTTCTAGCTCCAACATTCGGTACTTTCTAAGTTAACTGCTTTGCACAAGGGTTTCATGAGATTGTCAGCCCCCACGCCCCACTGAAGGAGAGAATGTATCCAGGAAGTTTTCCATCCAGGCTGAGCCCACCTGGGGCACATGAGTCCTGCTTCTCACCATGACATCCCTGACCTTTTCCACAGTCGGATATTTGTTCTGGAATCCTGGGGCTCTGGGGTTATCTGATGTCATCCTACCAGTTCTCCCCAGTGGGGTGGAGTGTGCTCCCTTGACCCTCTCTCATCTCCCCAGACCCAGGTATCTGAATGCTTCTACCCCTCACTGCCCAGCCATGGCATCCTGTCCTCTCCCTCCTTGTCCCCACAATTGTTTATTGAGCCTGAGTCTTGGTGAACAAGTGTCCTGTCTGTCTTAGGGGAACATAGACATGTCTGTGTTCTTTCCTCGGGTCTTCTGCTAAGCACTTTGTACATATTCATTAAATCATTAATTCAGTAGCTCCATGAGTCCATAGTATCATCCTCATTTTGCGAACAAGGCACTCAAGGCTCAGGGAAGTTAACAGATTTGTCTAGTTGTCAGCCAGCACCAAGCTGAATCCTTCCCATGCATTGTCTAGTTGACATTGTCTAGTTGACACTAGTTAGTGTTCCAGGTCTGGCACACTCATGCTGCCACATGCCTTTGAATTGCTATAGTTACTTGGCCTGCACTGGAGCTGGGGAGAAAAGTCTATGGTTTTCCTTCAGTGGCGTGACTGGTCTGTAGTTCCTGTGTGGTCTGGGTGGAAGAGGGTGGTCTGTTTCTATTTGCAGGGGTGGGGGGGGTACAGGGAAACCTGAGGGAGGAGTTCCAGAGTTCAGCAAAACCGTAGGTGTCTGGAGGGTGGGATCGTAGAGTCGGGGTTCCTTAAGAAAGCACAGCCTCCCTGCTCAGCACCCCTGAACGTCTGTCTGTGTTTGCTTTCAGATCCTGGAAGGAGACCAAGCCATCCTGCAGAGAATCAAGAAGGCCGTGCGGGCCATCCACAGCTCCGGCCTCGGTGAGTGAGCTCGTGGGGTGCCGCACCTGGCCAGGCCACTGCTTCCCCAGCCCCAGCCTGGAGCTAACTCAGCTCCCCTTCCTCCCTCCACAGGCCATGTGGAGAATGAAGAGCAGTACCGAGAGGCCGTGGAGTCCTTAGGCAACAGTCACCTGTCCCAGAACAGCCATGAGCTGTCCACAGGCTTCCTGAACTTGGCTGTGTTTACCCGTGAGGTGGCTGCACTTTTCAAGAATCTGGTGAGGCCTCGTTCCTTCCTCGTCCAGTCCTCCCCCCAGGCTCAGGGTAAATCTTGTAATACCTGACTGGGAAAAGGCTGCTTCCTTCCTTTCCCCAGTTTGCCCTTGACCTCTGACTCATGACATGAGGTGCCTTTCCATCCCTGACCATTCTCCTCTGATTTCTTTTTTTTTTTTTTTTTTTTGAGACAGAGCCTCAAGCTATCCCCCTGGGTAGAGTGCTGTGGCTTCACAGCTCACAGCAACCTCCAACTCCTGGGCTCAAGCGAGTCTCCTGCCTCAGCCTCCCAAGTAGCTGGGACCACAGGTGCCTGCCACAATGCCCGGCTATTTTTTGGTTGCAGCCGTCATTGTTTGGCAGGTCCGGGCTGGATTCGAACCCGCCACCTTAGGTGTATGTGGCTGGTGCCTTAGCCACTTAAGCTACAGGCGCCGAGCCTCTCCTCTGATTTCTTGACCAACTCTTCTCTGTTCTCCTTTCTTTGCCCAGGAGCAGAGGGGGTCTTGCAGCAGGGAAGAGCCCCATGAGAGAGAGGGGCCCCGAGACAAGCTTTGGGATACAGGCAGGATAGACTCCAGGATTCCTGCCTTCGTACCCCTGCCGCTGCCACTTCTCCTCACACCCGCTTTGTCCTCAGCTTTCCTGGTCGCTTCTGCTTCATCTTCACATATAGAACCTGCTCTCACCTCCACAGGCCTTTCCGCCTTTGCCTGTGGCCCTGTGGCCTCAGGTTGCTTTCTGATGGCCTCCTTGGTGATTGCCTCTCCTCTGGTCCTTCAAGTCCCTGCCTTGAGGCCACCTTGTGATTCCATGTGCAGGCAGAGTTCTCAGCGCTTCACACGTGTAAACTTATTTAATCCTGGCACACAGCTTTGTGGGGCTGGTATTCCTCTTATTTCTACTTTGCAGGCTAGGAAACTAGGATGCAGAGGGTAAGCAACTTGCCTAAGATCATGTGGTGGGTTTGATGTTAACAGATTTGTCTAGTTGACACACTAATTAGCGTCCTGGAACACTCATGCTGGAAGGTTGGCTTCCAGAGTCTGAGCACAGCCTGGCTGTGTCACCTCCCAGGAAAGCCTCTCCTCTACCTGCAGGCTCTGCAGCACTGAACTGGCTCTAATGCCTGCAGTCCTCCCTACTGTCCTCCCTGCTTGCCAGGCACTGCAGCTGAGCAGCAGTGTGCACCGCACGCCCCTACTGCCCTTCCATTGCCCCTGCCTCCTGTTCTCTGGTCCCCTCCTTTGCCTTGTGACCTCAGACTTAGACTGTGGCGTGGGACCTCTGCTCTGCTGCTCACTGGGTCAAGTCACTCAGTCTGCCTGAGCCCAGGTCTCAGGGTACTGCTGGTTCCCACTATACAGAGCAGTTATGAGGATCAGGCAAGTTAAAAGTGCCCTCTCTGTAGTCAGCTCTCAGTAAATGTCAGCTGACATTGCTATCTGTCATTATTATATCTCCTGGCATAGCAGTGCCTCATACCCTGCCCTGTGTGTAAAGGCCTTCTTTAACAGCATTGACTTCAGCTGAATGGGTGTCCTTTGTCTTCACCCCCCCTCCCTGTTTCAGTCAAACTAATGTTTTCTGAGGGTCTGCTGTCCAGGGGACATTATACCAGGGGCTTGGTGACAGAGGAAAGAGTCAGACTGTCCCTCAGAGGCCACAGTCTAGGTGGGAAGACAAGAACTGGGGTGTGGAAGGATACTAAGCAATGCCAGCAGCATGGCACAAACCCACCTGTGGGGTAAAGTCAGGCGCCTGGTGCTGCCCTGGTTCAGAAGAGGGGAGATCAGTATAGACCAGGGGCTAGTTGTCCAGGGAGGCTTCCTGGAGGAGGGGAGACCTGAGCTGTACCTTGGAAGGTAGATTGAAATAGTACACAGGCCTCTTTGGGTGGCCAAATGACAGACGCCCAACTCAAATTAGGCTGACTTTATTCAAAGAGAATTCATTGGTCCCTATAATGGGAATCCAGGGGTGCAGCTGGCTTTTGGCTCCTTCCTTTTCTCTTAGTTTGTCCCTGCTCAGTGGGCAAGGTACCCCAGATGCACATCTTACTGACAGAAAGACATAGTCCTCCTCCCATGAGATTTAGGCAGAAAAATCCCAGGGAGGATCTCAATCAGCTAGCCCAGGTCACCTGATCCAGGCCTTCTATCCTGGGGATGGGGTGCTCCAGTCACATCTGACCCCTGTGTTTACCATCTGACACCCAGAAAGGTTCCCACAGGAAAGGGGGAGATAAGGCAGGCAGAGAAGAGCAAGGGTGCCCCTGGCAGACACAGAGGGAGGCTACTGTGGGGGCCTCTGGAGCAGTGTGGTGGTGAGGCTGGAGTCGTCAGGGGAGGGCCTGACTCCCGCACGCCCCTCCTGCCCTTCCATTGCCCCTGCCTCCTGTTCCCTGGTCCCCTCCTTTGCCTTGTGATGCTTCACCACACTCTGAGCCCCTTGGGGCTGGACAGGTGGTCACCTGAGGTGGGGAATGGGGGGGCTCTTTGCCTTTTCCAGGTTCAGAACCTGAACAACATTGTCTCTTTCCCCCTGGACAGTCTGATGAAGGGGCAGCTGAGGGACGGGCGACAGGTGCGTCTCTGCGGGAAGAGTGGTGGGGCAGAGCAAAACCATGGGGGGCAGTGGCGCTGGCTGTGGGTGGAGGCCAAGTGAAAGGGCTGTCACAGCAGAAGTGCTGACCCTGGGGAGGACTGGAAGGCCTGACAAGGGGGCTAAGGGGCTCAGTCAGCCTGGGATAGTCCAGGGAGTTAGGCAGCTGCTGTGGTTTACATAGCTGGGAAGCAAAGAGCCAGTGTGGGATACAGGCATCCTGAGCCCCATGCTTGAGCTGCTCTCTTTGAGCCTTGGCTGGAGCTCAAAGAAGGTGACAGGATAATCTCCCTGGGCAGTCTGCCCCAGACAACCCAGGGGAGGAGCTGTCCTCCCCACAGAAGGAGAGAGCTCCCTCCCTGCCCCAGGCTGTCAGCCAGGGAACCACCCAAACCAGACAGGCAGCTTTTTCACCTTGGAAGTCTGGATTATTGAGAAGGGCTTGAACAACCCAACTGAATGAGGCTCCAGCATGCTAGGCCAGGGGTCAGCCAGGCCCCCCTGGCTTGCTGTGTGGCCTTGGGTAGACTACTCTACCTTTCCGCACATATTTCTTGACCTATACCCTTCCTGGCAAGAGGACGATCTAGGACAAGTACATGCAAGAAGAAGTGGTGAGGGGAGGAGTTGACCTTCATGTCCTGTACTCACCTTTATGGCTGATCTCTGTCTTCTGAGCAAAGCCCAAAGACCCTTCAGTGCAGGCCAGGGCCCAACCAACCTAAGTGATTCTTGGAAACTGTGGGGAGGATAAGATCAGCTGGGAGGAGGAGCTCAGCTCTGAGAAATGGAATTAGTTGGGTCTTTTGGAGGGGACAGGGTCTGGCTAGAGAATGGCTCTGAGCAGCACAGGAGAGCATGTGACAGGACCCCCTACAGGCAGCAAAATGTACTGTTGATTCCTGCCTTCAAACTTCCCTTTGGGCAAACTGTTCCTGTTTTTAAACCACAGGATTCCAAAAAGCAGCTGGAGAAGGCTTGGAAGGACTACGAAGCCAAAGTGTAAGTGGTATCGCCTTGGCCAGGGTGTTTGTCCAGTTCACCAGCTGCACTACAGCAGGAGGCTAAATACTGGGAAGCACCGAATTGTGTCACCCAGAAGTGGGCGGCCACTCGATCTGCGGACGGGGGCTGGTTTATACCCAGGCCTGACCTGATTCCGGGTGGTGGGCCTGGAGACCAACAAAGGGGAGCTACGTGAAGGGACCTAGCCCCCCATTTACCCCTACGTGTGAGGCATTTAGTCCTCACAGGCACCCAGCCCTGTGAGGGAGGCACTGGTACCAGAATTACCAGACGGTTGGAGGCTCAAAGAGTGAAGTCACTTACCCAAGGCTACACTGATAGGCAGAGACAAGACAGGGCTTCACACTCCTTGTTCCTCAATGCCTGGTGGGATCTGTAGAGGAGGAAAGAGAGTTAATGCCAACACCTGGCTTCCTGTGTGTGCCCCATGATACTCTAGATCGCTCCCCAGCTACAGAGACATCATGGGGACCGAAGACGCCTCAGGACTCTCTATAACCAACTCTATCTGAGCAGAGACTCAGGCTCTGTCCTCTTATCACTCCATACACGTCCCCGCCAGGCCCATACCTCAGAGCTCTGTTTGCTCTTCTTTGTAAAATGTTGTTTTCTCTTGTATTTTGCTAACCCGGTCATGTCTATTGTGAATAATTTAGAAAATGTGAAGAAGCAAAAGAAGAAAAAAGTTTTAGGGGAGGATTAGGGTCATGTGGGAAGAGTATTTTCTGTTGTTTGAATTTGTTTTTACGAGACAGGGGCAGCCCTGTAATGTTACCATCTGAAAAAGGTAGTGTGGGGTGAAACTACCAAAAAGTGGGAGAAAAAAAATCCTTTAAAAAAGATTTCTAAGCATAAAGTATTAACATTTTTCCATTTGTTTTTCTATATGCCAATTTTTACAAAACTGGGATAATAATCATAATGTTTTACAATCTACTATTTTTTCAAATATACATTGAAAATTACAATCTATTCAAATTCAAATTACAATCTTTTTTTTTTTTTTCAAAAATACATTGTGTTGGCGGCACCTGTGGCTCAGTAAGTAGGGTGCTGGCCCCATATACCGAGGGCGGTGGGTTCAAGTCTGGCCCCAACTAAACTGCAACAAAAAAAATAGCTGGGCGTTGTGGGGGGTGCCTGTAGTCCCAGCTACTCAGGAGGCTGAGACAAGAGAATCACCTAAGTCCAAGAGCTGGAGGTTGCTGTGAGTTGTGATGCCATGGCACTCTACCAAGGGTGACAAAGTGAGACTCTGTCTCTTAAAAAAAAAAATACACTGTGACCATCTTTGTACATCATTACATATTCTTTTTGTTGTTGTTGTTGTTGCTCAGGCAAGAGTGCCGTGGTGTCATAGCTCATAGCAGCCTCAAACTACTGGGTTCGACTTGGCACCCATAGTACTGGATCAGCCACATACATCGAGACTGGCGAGTTCAAATCCGGTCTGGGCCAGCTAAACAACAATGACAACTGCAACAAAAAATAGCCGGGCATTGTGGCAGGTGCCTGTAGTCCCAGCTACTTGGGAGGCTGAGATGAGAGAATCACTTAAGCCCAAGAGTTTGAGATTGCTGTGAGCTATGATGCTATAGCACTCTACCAAAGGCGACATAGTGAGACTCTGTCTCAAAAAAAAACAAAAAAACAAAAAAACTCCTGGGTTCAAGTGATCGTCTTGCCTCAGCCTCCCAAGTAGCTGGGACTACTGGTGCCTTCTATAATGCCTAGCTAATTTTTCTATTTTTAGTAGAGATGGGTCTCACTCTTGCTCAGGCTGGGCTCGAACTCTTGAGCTTAAGCAATCTACTCACGTTGGCCTCCCAGAGTGCTAGGATTATAGGCATGAGCCCGTGCGCCTGGCCATCACACACTCTTATTTATTTATTTATTTGTTTGTTTTTTTTTTTTTGAGACAGAGTCTCACTTTGTTGCCCTCAGTAGTTTGAGCTATGATGCTATAGCTCACAGCAACCTCAAACTCAACTTTTGCCTCAGTCTCCCAAATAGCTGGGACTATAGGTGCCCGCCACAATGCCTGGCTATTTTTAGAGATAGGGTCTTGCTCTTGCTCAGGCTGGTCTTAAACCCATGAGCTCAAGCAAGCCCTCCACCCGCCTCAGCCTCCCAAAGTGATAGGATTATAGGCATGAGCCACTGTGCCCGGCCCATCACACATTTATACAACATTCTTACACAACATAAGTGGGCACACAGTGTGCCAACATATGCATAATCTATGATGTATTTAATCCCCCCTGTCGTTGGGTAAAGCATCCTTGGAATTAAGTATTTGTTCCCACCTATAATTATTTCTGGAAGATTTGTTCCCACCTATAATTATTTCTGGAAGATCAATTCTAAGTAGATGCTGGAGCTTATTCTTTTCTTTTTTCTTTTTTTTTTTAAGACAGAGTTTCACTATGTTGACCCTCGATAGAGTGCTGATAGAGTACTGTGGTGTCACAGCTCACAGCAGCCTCAAACTCTTGGGCTTAAGCAATTCTTTTGCCTCAGCCTCCTGAGTAGATGGGACTACAGGTGCCTACCACAATGCCTGGTTATTTTGTTGTTGTTGTTGCAGTTGTCATTGTTTAGCAGGCCCAGGCCAGGCTTGAACTCACCATTGCCCTACTCACTGAGCTACAGGTGCCGAGCCTAGATCCTGGAGCTTTTATTGTTTCTCCAGCTCCCAGATCTATTGCACGTTCCCAGGTCTGCAAGAAGCCATGCCTTCTTCCCTCCCCCACCCCTACATTCCCCCCACCCTGCGGGAGCATCTCCAACCCCAGCTGTGGGGGTGGAACCTGTGATGAAGAGTGTGAGTAGTCCTGCCTGTGATGGGCATGGCCATCTGCTCTAGAGGCCCAGGGATGGTGGAGACCCAGGCTATCCTTGTCTTTATGATTTGCTTGGGGCCACATGGCCCTTTTCTTTCTGAGTTTACCCAATGGAAAGAATCAGCCCTACTCTGCTGACCTTTCCCAAAGCAGGTAGGCTTTTGCTGGGTTTCTATATTGAGCATTTCTATAAGTTTTCATTTGTAGACAAGATTCCATTGAGATAAGAAAGGGACCTTGCTAAGGTTATCCAGTGAGTTACTATTATTTATTTATTTTGCAGTTTCTGGCTGGGGCTGGGTTTGAACCTGCCACCTCCAGCATATGGGGCTGGCACCCTACCCTTTTGAGCCACAGGCGCCACCCTATCCAGTGAGTTATTGACAGGCTCTGAACTAGAACCCACGGCTTTTGAGTTCAGTGCTGTTTCCCCGGGTGGTCTTCTGGCTCCTACTGTGGAGCTACACAGTTTGAGCTATGTGTCCTAGCACAGGTGACTCTGTACATTTCTTTTCATATGGGTTCCAGGTATAGCCAGATATCAATGAGCCACAGTTGCTCTGTAATTCCACCTCATTCTTCTTACCAAACTGGTCTGAGCAGCAGCTGGAAGGGCCAAGACTCGGATAGCATCTGTTGAATACCACTGGGAGCCTCACCTCCCGTCTGTCCATATAGGAAGAGGGTGCCCTCTCCACATGGGGCTGTTGAGAAAGGCATCCTAGGCCATGAGCAAGAGCCAAGTTTATCTAGGCTGTTCCACGTGCAGGGTCAATGTGGGGGATGAAGAAGCACAGTGCATACAAAGAAAGAAGCACCCAGCACTCAACTTCAACAGGCATTTATCAACTCTCTCTGAGCCAGAACCGGGACCAGAGTAACACAGGAAGAGACGGAGAGGCAAGAAGCCCAGACGTCTGCTTCTAGCATTACCCTGACCAGCTTTCAATCTTGAGCAAGTTGTTTTTCTTCTCTCTGTCTCAGCTTCATCATCTATAAAGTAGTTCCTGTTCTAAGACTGTAATTTCTCAGAACAGAAAACAGGATGACTGTCACCAGCTGGCAGGAATGAGGCAGGGAAGCAGGGATGGAAGGAATCTGAGCCACAGTGTTGGTCACCTGAGCTGCCCTTGGGGTGCTAGCATCAGACAGACCTGGGTTCCAATTCTGGCTCCACCACTTAACAGCTGTGTGACTTGGACAAGTGACTTGTCTTCTCAGTCTCAGGCTCCTTGTCTGTAAAACGGGGTAATCATTTTACTTTAATGTAGGAAGGGCCTAGCAGAGCACCTGGCACAAAATTAGTGCTTAAAAATAATAATTTGTAGCAGCTTGAGCAAGAGCAAGACTCTGTCTCTACTAAAAATAGAGAAAACTAGCTGGGCATTGTGGCAGGCGCCTGTAGTCCCAGCTGCTCGGGAGGCTGAGGGAAGAGGATTGCCTGAGCCCAAGAGTTTAAGGTTGCTGTGAGTTATGCTGATGCCATGGCACTCTACCCAGGGCAACTGAGTGAGACTCTGTCTCAAAAGAAAAAAACATTTTAATAATAGCCATTAATACTTATTAAGTGCTTTGTTTGTGCCAGGTATTGGGATAAACACCTTACACCTGTCATCACATTTAGTGTCTCTGGCAGGAAAAGTTGCTATTATTCTAGGTAAGTAGAAAGGAAAAAATTACCACTTAGTGGAACCCCCCTAGTATGTAAGGCAAGAATAGAGGGGGGCTGAATGAATAATTAAAATACAGTGATAGGGCTCGGCACCTATAGCTCAACCGGCTAAGGCGCCAGCCACGTACACCTAAGGTGGCGGGTTCGAATCCCCAGCC